AAGTACACTAAATTATTCTCTCTCTCTCTCTCTCGATATATATATATATATATATATATATATTGGGTGAGTTATTCTCTATATATTCAATTAGGCTGAAATCTTATCTTTTTTCAAATAGAAACGCTTTCAAATAGAAAGGTTTCTCATGCTGAGTACCGGCTTTTAAATATAAAAATTAAAATTTCAATTTTTGAAGTCAACTTTTCTTCTGAAAATGGATGGGAAAACAACCATTCTCTGTTGGAAAACATTTACAAGGTCGATACCTTAAAATGTAGTATGAAGGTGCACGTCTAAAGTACTTAGAAAAAGGTTGTTTTGATGTTGGAAAAACATCTAATTGATCATCTCGCCATCAAAATGTATAGATATGGAGAAAAAAATAGATTTTAAATCCTTAGTACATCTTGCAACAAAGTATCTGTACTACCCATGCTCAAGATTTTTATGCTTTTATAGATCTGCTTGATTTGAACTATTTTTAGAATTCAAAATTTTTATAATTAAAGTGTTTATGCCCAATTTTGAGGTGAATGGCACTTCGACCTTCCAACCTTGATCTCGAACTAAAACAATGTCACTCAGAGGTATTAAAGGGGTTTTATTGAATCATGACTCATATGGGAGATTGGTCTCCCACTTATCACCAGCAATGCGGGCTTGCAGGCGGTAAAACCAAAAATCCACTGACTAAGTCCATAAATATTTTTGAATATGAGTGTGAGGGATTTGGAAAACGTTTTTTGAAGAAGAGTAAAAACCTAAATTAATAAGAAAGGAAATGCAACTATAGAAAGTGAAATGAGAGGGCCCCTAAGCGCCACACCCAGGGTCGATGGCTAGTTCCGGATCAAGTTTGGTGTGCCGATGTTTTCAAAATCTGACGGACGAGATCGACTGATATCAGAGTGGGATTTGGGTATTCAAGAGTTTATGTTAAGACTTGGAGGGCATGGGAGTTTGGAGGATGTTAAGATTGGGACATAGAGGGTATTACGATTAGAGTTTGGGCTTAAGGTCTCTAAGGGTTTATGAGGGTATTGGGATTAGGGTTTAGATTAAAAGGGCTTAGCAGCAGGGTGTTTGACGCAACAGAATCTCCCTTAGGATGCTTGAAATCGGGTCCACAAAATTGAATGCAAAGGTCCCTATTTATAGAGAATTTTCAGTTCAATCAGGGCCATCGATTGGCAGAGCTAACGCAACTAACACTAACGTTAGTACCATCGACGCAGACAACTTTGGCAGCATTAACATAGAGCTTCGGCACCATCTAATCATTTATGAGCAGTGTGAACAGTGTTGCTGCAACCATCAATCATTTCTCCTGTTGTAATTCGTCTGTAAAGAGTTACTGTTAGTAACACAGGGTGTTCTATTACGTCGGTGTTAACAGTCATTAGGGGATTTAGCAAGGACTTTCAAGTGATATTTTGGTCCCCGTATTCCGGCATAATCTCAATTATGCCTGATGAATCTGGTGTTGACAGTATTAATGCAGCCATTAACGAATTTAACACAGAGGCCTGCGTGATATTTTTGGCCCCAAATCCCGGCAACACAACGTGGATTTGGATACAAGGGTCAGTCATTGGTGGCCATTGTTACTATGGCTGGTGCTAGGTGTCTTGATTGGTTAGTGTTGATGCCTCTAATGTTGTTTTTTGCAGTGGTAGCACTTTGGCATCCAATTTGAAGTGATTTGACCGAATTTTGGTGTCTAGAGGGCTGGGATTTTGGGGCTAAGGTTATGCATGTCCTTGTTGCATAAGGACTGTTTCTTGTATTTATTAGGCTTATCGGTGTCTAGGTTGACAAAATTCCCTCAACAAGGAATGGGGTATCTACATAGAGATTAAAATAAATTCTCGCACCATCCTAAGGTATCTATATAGAGATTAAAATAGATTCTTGCACCATCCTAAGAATTTCAGACAACAAAATTGCATCACATGATAAAGTTTGAAAGTGCACTTTACTTCTATTTTTTAATGTTCCAAATTTATGCATAATGCATTATTCTTTTATGGTTGCAACTTTATTCAAACTACATCCTTCTCGTTTTGAGTCTAGTTATGAAAATGGATGGAAAAGCAGTTTCTTTGAGTTTTATTTTATTTATTATTATTGTTATTTCCTTTATTTCTTTTCACAAGATAGAAGAAAGAGAGAGACCGAACATCCGTTATGACGCTATCCAAGCTATCCCAAATTCCTATGCAACCCAAACTCTGTTACCCTTCCATCATAAACACAAGCAATCTCTCCACTGATCAAAATATCAGGGTTCCACACCAAAACACAAACATCAAAACATCCAAAACCCCAGCCATTAATACAAATTAAAAACACCATCACCATAAATATATACATAAACACCACAGTGTCATCCTAAATACTAAGTCCTTTCTACCTAAACCTTCATTTGTTCTTCCTCTCTTTCTCATTCTTATTTGCTCTTTGTTTCACATGACACAACATGCATGAACATTATCATCACTAAAGATGGTGCTCACCTTATCATCAGGCCTATAAGCAGATACGACCTGGCCATGGCGATCTCCATTGTAGCCATGCCTCCAGTAATTGTATGTCTCCTTATAGGCATTCACATCTTGATAGTAGTTAGAAGCAGTGGTGAAATAGAGGGGCTCATGTGGGGTTGGCCAGAACTCGGCCCTTTTGCCACTTCTCCTAACATACTTCAACACTTTATTGCGATCGACATAACCGGTGACTGTCACCTTCTCCAGCTCTAGATTTATATCCACTGAATCCACCCCTGTTTTTCTCATCGAAACACATCGAACATCAGTTCTTAAAAAAAAAGAGAGAGATCATTTGTAGAAGAACTAGAAGATCACTTGGCAAGAAAAAAATATCAGTTCTACAATTTAACTCGATGAATGTTTTGTTTCGCTTTCCTCAATCAATTTTTTCTCTTTTTTGGGTGCATTCAAGTTTCTTTTTTTGGCTCTTTACAACCACATGGAGTTTTTCGTTTACTTTTTATTCTTGTATTTCAACAACGGTTCATATGCAATAAAAACAATGAAGTTATATGACCCCGTCATTGGATGTCACAGATGGACAGTTGTGGATGCCAATTCTCCTCTCAATGTTGGGACCGCACTCTCCCTTGTTGACATAGACTGGCTGGGATGATCTAAAGTTCCCTACAGAAAATTGATTGTGATCTTATTTTTTTGTGTTCTCCTTTTTATATAGACTCATCGAATATATTTCTTTTCACGATTGTTGCCACCTTATATAAACCGAAAAAGTATACCATGATATCATTTACCTTTGGTATAAGGTGGTCACAATTAATTTGATCATTAGATATGAAATTTGATGGTTGTATTTGTTCTATTGACCAAACTCAAAGTTCATTAAAAATTTTCGAACTTTATGAGACACCCAAGCTATTATATTTCACCGGTTTTAAGTAATTGTAACCTTCTTGAAATAACTGTAAATGGTCTTATTGTATACAATCCCTTATAAACTATACCCATTATATATATATATATATATATATATGAATGATAATCTAAACTTCACAACCCTTCAAATTATAAAGGTTAAAAATAGAGAGAGTTGGGATTTATTCATTTTGTAGTCTATTTTTTTAAATTTTTTTTTTGTGATATCTTAATCATTAAGTAAAGGCAATTTTGAAAATATCACTACAGGACAAGAGATACTTTTGTCATCTCAAAAAAAAATAAAGTTGAAATTTTACTTAAAGATAAGGGCAATATACTCATCACAACCCTTTCTAGCTTTAACCTTTGTATTTTGTAGAGGTTGTTAACTCTAAACAAACTATATATATA